CAAGCAACTTGCTCAGTGGAGAATGTGGCCTGCCAGATATTTGCCAACATCCATCTCCATAACTTCTTGTTGAATTGTTTCAGCAGCTCTGGGGAGTCATGACCAAGCACAGAGACCTTCTCCAAGTATAGGAGTACTTAAATAAAGACTGTGTTCCTGCAGTGGAGGTGAAATTGGTAGTGAATGGGGAGAAGGCCTTCTCCAACATGGCTCCCCTGGGTGGTTTGCCTGGTGCCTGCACTGATGTCTTTCCAGCATCAGGCAAAGGTTTCTCTTTCCCTGTGCTTTTACTATTCAAGAACTTCTATTATCCAATTTTATTGCAACTTTTATTATTTGTTTTATGGTGTCTTTTAAATGGTACTTGGATGGTTTTATATTTTTACAGTAAACTGCCCAGGCAATCCTTTTTATTTTTAGCATGGTGTTTAGAAATTTAAACTGTGTGTACACAGTATTTATTTACTGCCCTTCTGCCAGACATCGTTTGCCTTCTGTGTCATAGGATAGTCTGGAGCAAGAGTCCCTTGTGATATTAAAGTGAGAAAAGGGTGTATAAAGAGAAATAAGTGTAACTAGATTTGGAGTGCTTTTCCTGAATGTATGTTTTGCTTACCGATCATCATCCAGTCTAATTAAACTAGGCATAGGAACAGCCAGTCCACGTGATGGATATAGTCCATGAGAGTTTCTTATCAGCCTGCAAGCTTTTCCCCCAATACCTTCATTCCAGGCAGAAAAAAACCTGCAAGTGCTTCTCCTCAGGCAAGGAGAACCTGATCAGCGATGGGATTCCCCCCTATTTTTATGGTGTGCAGCAGAGATTTTTACTGTTTAGTTATCTCAGCACTCTGCAGAGAAAACCTGTCTGAATAGCAGTTGATCAGAAGACAAGGTTTTTTCAGCACCGAGGAAGGACTTTCATCCCTATCACAGTATGTTGGATGGGATAAAGTGAGAAGGGAGCTGAGAAATCTGCCTTCAGTGGATCTGCATTACCAGGAAGCATATGTGTGTTTCTATGGATGGATGCATGCATACATGGATGCATGGATGCTGTGTGTCAGAATGACACGAGGAGAGAGAGAATGGAGTCTTTGGAGTCTGGCTATGAGATCCTGGAAGGTTTTTCCATGTGGCAATTTAGCTGAAAGGGCAAAAAGGGTTCCTTACCACTGGATTCAGCACTACTGCCTCTTCATCCTGGGTCTCAGTGCTTCACTGAAACTACCAGACAAAATATCAACACTAAATATAATAGATGACCTATGTTATAATCATAATTTCTGTTTTGGTTTCTATAATTCTTGGTTTATTTAAGCATTTATATTTTGCTCTCCCCTCCCTTGCTATTTGTCTATATTTGATTTAAATTGATAAGAAAGAAAATATAACACTTTCTTAATGTGCAACTTAATTTTCACAGCCTGTTGGTCCTGCGGTCTTCACTTGCAAAAGAGCCTTTTTACAATGCTTCTCTTAAACAGTTGTGTACTGTTGCTGTGAAAGAGCTGTTGATATATCACTCAAACCGAGGTTGCATTCCAGTCATGAATGAAGTGGCTCCTGTGTGAGAAGTAGACATAAGCTACTATGGGATTTAAAACCACTGTTTTGCGTAGCATATAAAACATCTGTGTGAAGCTCAGGTCATAATATGGTGGTTTCAGCCATATTTTTTGTGTGAAGCTATGCGGAAAAAAAGTGCAGCTTTTCTTCATATTCTCTTCTCTTATGGCTGCCATGAGATCTGTATATGTTCCTATTAAAACAAAAACAAAAAAGCAAAGATCTCTGATTAGCCCTATGAAATCCCCATTTTAAAAGAAAGCCTGACAGCTGCAGACTTAATGCTTCTGTAAATGAGAAGCTCACGATTTGACAGCTGCAAAACTTTATGCTTCTGTAAATGGGAAGCTCACACTTTTCCATCTTCCTGAGTACCTGGAAAAGGTGAGGCACACTGGGAACATTCAGATTCAACCCCCAAAACAAAAATACTTTATTGGGAAGAGGGTGATACGCAGACTACTTTCCTTCATCAGCACAGATCCCTTGAAATTTTTCTTTCACTTGACAGCTTGCGATTTGGCAGCTGACATGGGATAACAAGGCAAAATCAACCCATTTGTAGTCTTGATTTATCAGTGTTCCTGGATGGTATCTCCTGCACTTTGACAGAAGAGACTTCCCAGGGTATTGTTGTAGCAAAGCTTTTCATTTTGTTCGTTCAGAAGAGAGCACTTGCACAGACTTTTGCAATATTCTCTTTCTTTTTGGATGAAGATGTGTGTGAAAAGTTCTACTTAAAAGAAAGCAAACCAGTGACAGCCACTCCAGGATGTCACTTAGGCAGTTTCGAGGGGCTGTAAGTGGCTGATACTGTAGAGGTAATGAAATGAAGAAAAAAATATGAAAAATGGGGGAAGCCATGACAAGTGCATAAGGGCTCACAGTCAGCAAAGGGAGACAAGACAAGATGCATCCTGCTATGCAGCTCCATGGAATACCTGGCAGAGAACCGAGAAATAGGAGGTGGGAAACAGTTCATGGTGTGTATGATGATCTCTCCAATGCACTGTGGGTTGTTTGATGTGTAGCTTAGCTCACACTGTGTAGCTTATTCTCAGGATGGGTGTAGCTTGTTCACAGGGTAGTTTGTCATGGAGTGTACACTGTCCTGACAGGTCAAGTTTGGTCATGCTGCTGGGGTGGCTAATTACAAAAAATGGCATAACGTGGTAGAAATGTAAAGCTACCAGCTCAGTATGCAGTGTGTCTCTTTGAACCGTGGAGCTTCATAATAGGAGCCCTTATAAGTTGTTAAAAATTTCTGAAGTTTTCAGCTCACCTTTTGCCACAGTATAGTCATCCTAAACATCCTAAAGTAACAGTCTGGTAGCAAAGAAGATGTTGGCAATCTCCCTTCTTCATGCTAATGCATTTGTAAATGTTCTGTAAATGTTTCTGCTAACTAAAATTATAAGAGCAGGAGCATAAAAATGAAGACTAAGCTGCTGCTGGCTGTGTATTCCTCTGTCTTAATAATGAGGAAAAGGGAAGAGCTATATTGTGATATATCAAGAGCTGAGATTAATGTATTATTCTTTTTTTAAAAAATGATGGTAGATAGTAATAAACATTGAAATGAAATTGTGTTTGATCCTGACAAAGCTCATGCTCTTTTCTTAGATTGAATTGAAGGGCGACGAATGAGTTTTTGTTTGCTTTTAAGAAGCACATCAGTCCTACAAGTAAATATATGTGTAACGCCCTGTGTCATCCATCGGCCTCTTCCCTTTGTTCTTTCCTTAGTAAAGAGACCTTTGATATAAGCAATAGTTCCCCATAAGGTACTCTGCTAAGTTCTGCTTGCTGTAAGAGGAAACAAACAAATGGCGCTGCATGCCTGTCGTGTACGCACTTGTCTGCATTTGTTCATGGACCAGAATTGAAATCTGCTTAAAACGATTACCTTGAGGACTTTTTAAAAATATGTTTTGAAGAAAAATATGACTCTGGTAGAGCTGGGGCATGTTCCTGCTATTCTTGTCAGCTGCCCCAAAAGCCTCAGCTGCCTAAGGGGTTTTATTTTATCAGGTCTAAATGTATTCATTTATATACTTTTGTGTTTTTGGTTTTTCTAAAAAAAAACAAAAACACCAGGCTGTGCTATGATTCCTTGAATACTGGGTGGTCATTTTTTAAATCTACTACTAGGAGTAGCTCTAGAGTAGTTTTACTTGACTGCCTAGAATTCATGCATGTACATGTATTATGGCTTCCGGTCCAAGAAAGACTGGCATGTTTTAGCTCTGTGAAGGGATCGAGGGCTCATGTAGACAACCGTTTTGAGAGTTTTGGCAGTCAGCTTGTATGTTTGGGTGGGAGGGAGTCTTGCACCCATCCTGCTTGAGGGCAGCTGGTTTGCCACCATGTATACGGAGTAATGGACTAGATGGACCTTTGTTCTGATTTAACATGGCTCAGGGTCTTAAGTTTAAGACGTCAAGAAACCATATACCTGCATTTCTTTCACATTTGCACCTTATGTGTGGCAACCCTTCCTAACCTTTCGGCAGGATGATGCCAACAAGGGATAAGGGATAAGCTAGGTCACTTCCAGCTGTTTGAGCTCTATCTTTGATAATATCAGGTTTTCACATTTGGTTTCTTTATTCTGTTTTAAGCAGTCTTATACAAAGCATGCCAAGGAATGATGGGAAACCAGCTGGGCTTTTTTGTTTATTCTAGGCTTGAATGGTGCCAGGGTTCTTGTGCCCTTCACAAGAAATAATAAATGGAGGTGGTAGGATATTGTTGTGTGGTGTGTTCTTCCTGTTCAGGGTTCCAGCCAGGCAGACTGTTTCCCAGGGTACTCCATTTTATATTATTTTCCCTGCCACCTGCCCTGCCATATTTGCCTACTGGGTGGGCTCAGTCTTTCTGGGAATACTTCTGGGGTTTCCCTTTACAGATTTTGCTAAAGGGGTGTGTGTGCGCGCGCGCGTGCGTTTTGCAATCCTTGGAGATTCCTCTAAACCTGCTGGTCATTTTCTCCTGTATACAATGCACTGTCTTCACATAAAATATTTTTCATATTGAAGTATTGAATACGCAACTTTATTGCTAAATTGTTTATTATTATTTATAATTTTATATTATTTATAATATTTATATCCTGCCTTTTTTCCTTTCAAAGGACTCAAGGCAGCTTACATAATTCTCCACCACCTGTCAGTCTTATCCCCACAACAACAACCCTGTGAGGTAGGTTGGGGTGAGAGTCTGTGACTGGCCCAAAGTCACCCAGTTGTCTCCATGGCTGAGCAGGGACTAGAACCCAGATCTCCTGAGTCCCAGTTCCACTCTCTTAGTCACTATACCACACTGGCTTATCACAGCAGAAACTCAAATTTATCTTCTAGATGCAATAGTTGGCTTACTTAATCCAACATTTACTGATCACGCAACTTTTCCTCCCCTTCTCTGCATTTTAGGGACATCAGCATGAACAATATAACAAGATTACCAGAGGATGCATTCAAGAATTTCCCTTACCTTGAGGAACTGTGAGTATTAAAATCTAAGCTGCTTTTGTGGGATGAACAGTGAGTGGAGTGTGGTTGAAAAATGCACATAAAAGTAAATAATGGTGTGAAAATCAACTGAACAAAGAAAGCATTATACTTAATGGTAAACACACAGACACACACCCTTATATGTGCTTCAAAGACAGTTTGCCACTTACATGGGACCTTTTTATAGTAATTATTTTAATTGTGATTACAGTGATGACATAGTCTAATTACAGTGTTATCCAAAGATAACACAGGGACTGTGCATTTACTCCTGTTTTAAATGGAGCTGTGCTAGACTGATTGCATAGCTTCTATAAAATGCGTTATGGTTACTGTGCTTCCCATCAGCCCTTTTTGGAGCAGATACAAGAAAGGGGGCAGGTCAGGATGTGTTGAGAGAGAAAATAAGGCATTGTGGAAAAGCATTCTTTTGCTCTTTCTCATATGTCATATCAGCTTGAAGCTTTCCTTGGAGATCAGATGTGCTCATTAAATGTGTCCTATTTCCTTAAATGTTCCATGCTGAAGGGTGTTCCTCCCACACTGTGTGCTCATACTTGTCTGCAAGCAAACTCAACTGAAAAGGGGGTTGAGAAGTATGGCCTGAGCATGGGTAGAATAGGCCATGCAGGAAGAGTAATAAATGTTGGGTGATTGTGTATTGCCTTAATTCTAGGAGATGCAGCTCCTCTAGGCCTTTGATGTGTGAAAAGAGGCACTGAATCAGGACACACACGTATTAGCTCTCTCTGTGTCTCACATTTTTATTTCCCCTAAGCCACTTCCATTTTTTTTCCAAAATAAAGATTTCATCCCAGTACTACTTATCCTTAGGGATGCACACAAATATGGTTACAGACATGTTCTGTTTGCATTCCTGCTCATGTCCAGGACTGCAATCTCAGAAAATGTTTGCTGTTTTTCAGGCTTGCCTTTGAAAGTATGCTCTCATGCAAGTGCATACTTTTGAAAATACTTATTCCCCACCCACCCCATATTTTCACATTTGCACATGCACATTTTCCCAAGTGGAAAAAAAGATGCTTGTGTTGCAGAATGTGAACAAGGAAAACCAAGCTTCAAGGAGGAATTTGGAGAACCTCACTCAGTTTGAACATTATATATTAGCCCATCCCTAATTTATTCTTGGTGTCTTAAGTGCCAGTCTAGTTAAAATGACTCCCTTCAAAGATGCAAATAGTTATTAGGGTAGCTGACCCTTGGAACAAAAATATTGGTACTTCAATATACCTTGGGGTGCAAGCTTTCACACAGTAATAGAGATAGCAGATGGAACCCATTTGGGAACAATTTATGATGTAGAACATGGAACACAAGACAGGTCTCATACACAAGAAAAACAAAAGAGGTGGGTGGGAGGGTATGAAAGGCCCTGCCTCTATCTTTTTTGGCAAATGGTTGAAAAGCAGGTGGGTGGGGGGGTTGGATAGCATCCAACTCTGGCTAGTATCTGGTGATGACAAAAGTACTAATGCTAATTATGTTGTGCTGGCAGAGACCAACACTAATGCAATACTGTTGTCAGTCAAAGGGAAATCGTTGGATTTTCCCCTTGCACTAAGAAAGACTAATTATATTGCATGATGCTAGTGTAATGTCATTAATCTTAGGGCTTCATCACAACTGGATATTGTTGTTCTCTTATCTCTCAACCTCCTGTTGCAGAGTTCAGGAAAGTGGCTAAGCTGTTAGTCTCAAACAAAGGTGCGACATACTCAGAGCTCCCAAGGGACCTGTGGCAGGCATGCAATTTATTTATTTATTATTTATTGAAAACATTTGTATGCCACCTCTTGTGCCGAGGCACCTCTAGGAGTAAGTGAATGTGATCAGACCATTAATTTCTGTACAAACTCTCCAGCTCTCTCATGCACAGGGTTATAATTTTGTGTGGTGCATTGGCCTGAAAAGGTGTATGTTTGTGGGTGGTGAGGAAGTACCAGCTCTTTCCTGGTTTAGGAAAGTTTTTCATCCTGGTCACCCAGAAATTATTCATTGCATATGGTTACTGAAATTATTGTTTACAGTGCCAGGTTAGTACTGATCCATTTATTTCCAGAAAAGAAAAAAAATAAATTGGACATAAAAGTAAGTGACCCAAGTCCTTTTAAGATGATTGCACAGAAGCATCTTTAAATATGACAGATGTGTGCATGGCTAGAGAAGACTGTTGTAAATAGAACTACATGTTGGTTCAGAATAATAGAGAAGACATTGTAATACAATGTTTACAAGGACACTTAATGCTCCTGATTAATTGTCAGAAGCCTAAAAAAACAAGACAAAACATCCCAGAAGGAAATGTATTGGATATAGTGCATGTAAAAAGGCTGAGCTTCTTGCTCCCTGATGCAAATGTTGCTTTGAACTCCCTAAGCAGATTGGCTGATTGGGTTGGGAGTTGAAGGCACTGCTTTGCAGTGGCTCTACTCCTACCTGATGGGCCAATTCCAAAAGATGTTGCTGGAGGATAGTTAGCTGAGCCCCATGGCTTTTACACCAGGGTTCCATTCTACCCCCCCCCCCCCATGCTGTTCAACATCTACATGAAACCTCTGGGAGAGGTTATCTGCAGGTTCGTGTTGAAGTGTCATCAGTACGCTGATGAGTACAGTCAGCTGTTCCTCTTGTTTACATCTGATCCAGGTGAGACAACTGAGACTCTGAAGCAATGCCTGTGGATGGACTGGATGAGGGCTAATAGATTGCTGCTTAATCCTGACAAGACAGAGGTGCTGTTGATCAGGGGAACCCTGATCCAGGGGCATGTGATTCACCCTGTCCTGGGCCGGGTTGCACTCCCCCTGAAGTACAGAGTGTGGAGCCTGGGGGTGCTCCAGGACCCAGAATTGTTCTTGGAATGTCAGATGGCATCTGTGGCCAGGAGAACCTTCCATTAACTTTGGTTGATTTTCCAACTGTGCCCCTATCTGGAGAGGCAGAACCTAGCAGTGGTAACCCATCCACTGGTAACCTCATGTTTAGACTACTGCGATGTACTCTATGTGAGGCTGCCCTTGAAAACAGTCTGGAAAATGCAGTTGGCACAGAATAGGGCAGTCTGTCTACTGATGGGGATTAGTAGAAATGAACATAGCAGCCTGGTGCTATATCACCTGCACTGGTTACCAATTGAAGTCCAGGCACACTTTAAGGTGCTTACACTGACATAAAAAGACCTAAATGGCTTAGGGTCTGGATGAAGAAGTATTTCTTCCATATACACCCATCCAGACCCTTAGGTCATCTTTGGAGGTCCTTTTCCCTGAAGAAAGTAAAGAGGGTGGCTACAAGGGGAAGGGCCTTCTCAGCTGTGGCACACTGAATCAGCTCCCCAGGGAGATACACTTGGTGCCAACATTTTGTATGTTTCAGTGCCAGGTAAACACTTTATAATTTTACTTTAATTTTCCCACCAACCATTTTAATGGTTGATTATCTGATTTTATATTGGCTTTTAATACCTTGCAACATATGGAATAGTTATTTATTGGATTCTATTGATCTGTTTGTTGTTTGCTATATAGGATGCTGAATTTTATTGTTATAGGGAAGTGGTATGGTAGTTGTCTGTTTTTCATCTGTTTTAAATGGCTATCTGGTAAATTTTTCTTCTGTACACCATTTTGAGAGTGTTGAGCTAATTAAATGGTATAGAAATGCCTGAAATAAATACATAAATACTAAGTTGACTTACAGGGTCAGCTCTTCCACCTGCACTGTTCTGTGTAGCCAGATCTGCTACATAGATGGAAGGGAATCCAAACTAACCAAGTGTAAAAGCATGGGACCCTGGGTATACTGTCACAATATAGATAGCTGCGTAGAGTCAGGAGTCTCCTGTTAGAAACTTTTTGGAAAGATGCATTAGACCCGGTTGGGATGTAGTGGCAATTCATGAGTTACTAAAATGAGGTGGCTAGATGGAGTCACTGAAGGAGTTGGTGTGAGCTTATGTGGGCTCCGGGGGATGGTGGAGGACAGGAAGGCCTGGAGGAATGTTGTCCATGGGGTCGCGATGGGTCGGATACAACTTTGTGACTAACAACAACAACAACAAAACCTATGAATTGTTAGAACTATGCATGAACAGAAGGGCTGCTCCTGGTTTGCATCCATTTGCATCAGTCATTGCATTAAACAACTCTTATTTCTGAGAATTGCTTAGCTCAGTTGCTTAGGTTGTTGCCTATTCCTGGGTTGTTGAAAACTTTGGGTTTCTGAGCAGCAAGTAACCCAGGGTTTTAACTCGTGCTTTGTTGTTGAGTTGTTATGAGAAACACAATTCAACGTGGAAGCAGCGAGGGCACAGAAGTCAGCATGCTTGCTTGCTTCCATGCTGCCCCACAATCCATGGTTTAAACAGCCCATGGTTATTTCAGCTGGACCAATAAAATTCTTGTCTGACTTCCTGAGTGGTTCTAAGTCTTCTGTAGCAATTTTCCCCTCCTTCTAACGAGTGTTTTCAAGTGTGGGAACAGGGAATAATCTGCAATCCCCAGAACCACAGAAACTAAAGAAACTCACCTTCCTACTTGGTCCAAACTGCCTCATTTATAAAAAGGTTCCACCCAAGGATGATCGCCTCAAGGAAATCAACACAGACAGTTGTTGTATTTCTAATCAGTATTTTGCTGACCTTTGATGTAATATTACAGTTTACAAAGCTTAATTAGTTGACAGACCTGAAACAACCTCTGTTACTTGTAATGAAAATAGATTGCATGTGCTTAGAGGAAGGGTAAGATTCACATGTAGCCTATATAAGGTACATCAGAACTGGAGCAGCCCATGGGTGAAAGTTGCCTGGCCATTTGGGGGTTCTCTGTACACTACAGGTAAGGCATTTGCAGAAATTTCAGGTCTAATTTACAATGATCCATAGTACTGACTGCTGTAAACTTCATAAAAATGATGTCGTAGGAGATTGAACTGTCAAGCAAACTTTTTAAATGTTGCAAACTGTAGCA